AAATATCCAAAAGAAAGCGGGGGGGGGGGGGACAAAGGATGTTTTTGTGGCCTTGCCAGCCAAGAAGCCACTTGGAGCAGCCATTTTGAAGGAGGAGGGGGTCATTTTGTGTCCCTTTCTTCTGCCTGACAGGCAACAGCCTGCCTGCCCAAAATGGCTTCCATTCTCGTCAGCCAAGAGGGGACTGCCTTTTCCCTCACCATTTTGATCTCCTCAGAGCAGAAGGAGCTCTCTTTTGGGGGAGGTTGGCCAACGCAGAGCCAAAAGTGAAAGCCACGCCAACTTGGCTGAGAAGGATGACATGTGGCATGGACACGGCGTCTTGTTTCCCCCTCCCAGAGGCCAGCTTCTGAGTGAGGAAGCTGTATCGAGGGAGGTGGTGTGTGTCTCCATCATATTTCCTGCACCAGACACACTCTCCTCACATCCTCCTCTCTATCCCGCCACCTTCACAGCTGCATCTGGTGGAGTCAAGTGGGAGAGCACCTTCCCTGTGGTGGTTCCTTTAGACTCTGGAACTCCCTGTCACTGGAGGCCAGCCTGGCTCCGTCTTTGCCATCCTTCTGCAGGACGATCAAAATATTTCCTCTTCAGGCAGGATTTCTTTGAGTGAATGGCAGCCTGAGTGGGGATTTGTATGGATTGTTGTACCTTACGTCCTGGAATGGGTCTTGGTGTTACTTTTTTGGTTTCATCTTTTTAGTATTTGTAAACTTACTGTTTTTAGCTTTAAATACTGTTTTCTGATGTTGTCAGCAGTCTTGGGTTCTTTTTAAGGGGAAATGTGTGGGGGAAATAAATAAATATACACCTACATTTTTTGGCCAGTTGAATGCTTGATTTCTGCTTCAGGCAAACCTTGTACAGCATTTCAAGGACTAATCAAGCCATGGATTCAGCCTTCTGGCCCAAATTCTGATTCTCTGGCAAGAACCAACTTGATTTTTACAACATTCCAGTTTGACAAGCGCCTTATGAAGCAGGCTCAGTTGAGACAAGTGAAATGAGTTGCACTTAGGTGGCCAAAGCCTCTCACTGCCCCCTAATAAATGCTATGATTGGGGGGGGGGGTTTGAATCCAGATCTTTTGCATCTATGCATTATCCTCTGGAGTTTGCTAGACCCACAAATTCAGCACTTAATTTCTCTTTCCCAGCTGGGCTTTCTTCCCCAAATGGTCTGTGCCCCATGGTCACGATTTCTTCTTTTGCCATGGAAATAAATCTCAACATTAGTCTGAAAAGTCATTGTGGGGCCCACAATGGAGTCTGGACCACTCCCCCCGCTTCTGGACTCTTTTTAAAAAGCTCATTAAAAGAAATTGTAAATATCAAAAAAATCTATGTATGCACTTCACAGATTTTGTTCAGCTGAATTCAACTCTCAACATTTCAGTGGAAGGTCATAGCAGTAGGAGTTTATACAGAAAGGAGAAACAAGGTGGGAAAATGTCAGTTAAAAAGGGAGGAAGTCCTTCATATTCCTATTCTCTGGGCCTGTCCAGAGTGCCTGTTTTGGATGTCAAGTGGATTGTGCTACCAAGGGACAACTGAGGTGGAGTGGGGGGAGGAGTGATGTGCCATTTGATGTGCCCTCCTTCCGAACAGCAAACAACTGCTTGAAGCATAATCACCTGCCAATTAAGCATTTACCCCCATCACTGTGGAGAGTCAAAGGGAGCGAAAAAAATTATGTTGCTCCTCTTCCTCTGTGGGCGCCCTTCTGTCCCCCCCCCACTTCCCTTCCCTAGGTAAACATAAAGGTTCCCCTTGACATTTTCAGTCCAGTCGTGTCCGACTTTAGGGGGTGGTGCTCATCTCATTTTCAAGCCGTAGAGCCAGCGCTTGTCCGAAGACAGTTTCCATTGTCACATGGCCCGTGTGACTGGAACGCTGTTTTACCTTCCCACTGACATGGTACCTATTTATCTACTCGCATTTACATGCTTTCGAACTGCTAGGTTGGCGAGGAGCTGGGACAAAGCGACGGGAGCTCACTCCGTCGTGTGGATTCGATCTTACGACTGCTGGTCTTCCGACCCTGCAGCACAGGCTTCTGCAGTTTAGCCCACAGGGCCACCACGTCCCCTGGCCCTTCCCAAAATGTTTGTGGATTTCTAGTGGTCTCACTGTTTTTCTTTTCCCGGATCTCTTGCTTCTCCCTGCTGGAGAGCTGGAATACGGTATCAGCTGCTTTCCAAGAAATCAGGCAAGAGCAGAGGATGGTTTGAGGAAATCAGGCCGGGTGGAGCTGCAGAAAGAGTTTCACAAACACCCCATTCACTTGGAAATGCAAGCGTAAATTAGTATCGCTTCTTCCTTTTTTTAAAATTATGAATGTGTGTACCCACTGCTTACAGTCCAAAAACATCGGAGCAGGGGGTGAGATTCATCAGATCTCTTCGTCGGACGTATGCCCAGAGATTGGGGCCAGATCCAAGTACGAGGTGCTTTTAGTCTTAAATTGTCTTGATATTTTAGGCCTTCCCCACCCCTTCTACATAAATTGACTAGCCTCCAAAAGCAGAGCCCATAATGTGCTGCTTCATCCGGGGAGAGGAAACCCTGAAGAGAAACCACGTGCCAGGCCCTGCCCTCGTGGGGCTTCCTTCCTCCTGTTCAAAACCACCTTCAGAGCAAAATTTACATTGGCTGCCTTTGTGGTTAAGTGCAAAGTCATTCTCCTTGATCAAGACCCAGAGAACTGCACCAGAAAAGATCCTTGCGTGCAAAGGGGATGGGGGAGGAGGGGGGGGG